TTGCCCTCATCGACAGGCGCTAAGGGACTGTGTGTGGACACTGTCAGACAACAAGTTCTGCCAATGAAAGGCAATGAAGTGTTAACGAGATCTAAGAACGTCGGAGAAATACCACATGTGTACATTACAAGTGGGCAAACTGCAGAGCTGGTGCTCTGATTGACTCATATTCAGGTAGGTCCAGACCAGAATCCAGCAGGGTTTTCAAGGCATCTAAGATGTTCTGAAATGTATATAAAATTGCAAAGGACTAAGAAGTAGCCCAGACAACCCTGAGGAAGATGAACATATCTGTAAGATTTATGCCCCTACATGTCAAGACACATCATACAATTTTAGTAATTATGATAGTGTGGTACTGAGTCGGGAGTCGAAAAATAGGCCAGTGGGAAAGCTGGGAACATCTAGAAGGAGGTGGATACAGTTACTGAATTCTCAGCACAGTGGGTGGTCTAGCCTAATGAGGGCAGGAAGGCTCTCCACAGGAAAGTGAGTCTTGCCTTCTGCCTCACATCACAGACAGAAATCAACTGCAGAAAAATAACACCCCTAAACATGGAAAACAAAACAGGACAGCTCCTGGAAGAATTCACCGGGGCATGTCGGAGTTGGAATGTTCACTCATGGGTAGTTGAAATGGAGATTGGGATGACCATCTAAAAAGACCTGTTAATAATTTTTCCTGAGACTGAATATTCGCATAAGACTTCTCTAGAATGTTCAGAGCATCATGGCTTATAGCAGTTCGGATTTGAGAGTAAAAGGCAGCCTAAGCTCGGCATGGTAGTTTATACCTTAAGCTGGGCATTGGGAGGTAGAGGCAGGAGGATTGCTACAAATGTGAGTCCAGCCTTGGCTACATAGTAATACCCTGTCACACATACACATGCCCACTCAACAAACAAAACAAAACAAAAAACTCAACCAACAATCAACTAACTAACCAAAGAAACAACTAACAAACCAAGAATGTCCCCAAATTCCTGATCCTCCTGCCTCCATTTCCTGAGTGCTAAGATTATAAGAACATGTGGTTCTGGGGCTTGAACTCAAACTTCATGTGCTCTAGATACTTCATTATCTACCTGTTTGTCTTTTATTTTTACTTGTTTTTCTGACAAGCCTCACTATGTAGCCCAGGCTGAGCTTCAACTTTAACTTCCCCAAATGCTGGAGGCTTTGAGTTTAAAAGGAGCTTATCTCTTCAAATAGTTACTGTAACAATGATCCTTTGAGTGATTAATTTACCAATTAATTAACCAACACTGGTGTGCAGTGAAGATCCAATTTGTATACATTGTATAGCCCAGGTTGGTCTTGAACTAACTCAAGACAGGTCTCCTGCTTCTGCCTCCCAGGTGCTGGGATTACAAGTATGTATCGTTACACCTGGCTTTTTGGCCTACTTTAAAAGAGAACCATGCTCTCAGTACTCTGAGTTCGAGACCAGCCTAGTCTACAAGAGCTAGTTCCAGGACAGTCTCCAAAGCCACAGAGAAACCCTGTCTTGAAAAGACAAAAAAAAAAAAAAAAAAAAAAAAAAGAGGGCCATGCTTATTTTTTCATTTTGGGTTCTCCTCCTTGGCCTTTGTCAGTATATCCTCAAGTTCAAAAAAATAGCTAAGTGTTCATTAGTAAACTGGAGAGCGACCCTCAGTCCAATTCATAAAACAGACAGAGGGAAAGAACCAGGCTGTGCACTTAGCAGTGGAGGGGTGAACAGAATGGTCTGTTTCCAGGATCTTTAAAAGGAAAAGCCAGTGAGGCTCACTTATTTATAATGGGCTGAAACTTGGCAACCATAGTTTAAAAGTGTGTGTATGTAGACTTGAAAAATTAATCAGGCTCAGCCATCTGCACAAGGAAACAGTGCAGCTTTTGCAAAACACAATGCATATGAAGAATTAATGGCTCAGAAAGTTGTGGGCATTGTTATGTGAAGACACTGGCCACAAGGCAGTGTGGGCGGGGGTTCTCAGTGGCAGAGAGCTCATCTGGTATGTGTGAGTGTCCACGTTTAATACTTAGCACTGAAAAGACGGGGATGGGGGGAGAACGGGGGGGTATTTTATGATACATGATCCAATTCTGTAAAAGGAGGAGGGGGACCGGAGAGACAGCTGAGTAGTTAAGGGCACTGGATGCTCTTCCAGAGGAATCAGTTTAATTCTAAGCACCCACCTGGCAGCTCACATCCATCTGTAACCCCAATTCCAGGGGATCCAGCACCCTCTTCTGGCTCCTTTGGGTACTATGCATGCACATGGTGTATAGACATACTTGCAGGCCATACAACCACACAACAAAATAAAATGTAAAAATGAAAAACTAAAATGTGTAAGGTGATTAACCATCACCAAATGCTGGGGAATACACCTTTCCTCCCCCTTTAATACTCAGTCCATGTGCTCTACCATGAAAACCACTATTCTTTTGTTGGAAAAATGTAATTTAAAATAGTCAGGAGCTGAACAGTGGCCTGGTCCATAAGAGCTTATCATTTTCAACAGGTTACATGGAGCTTCTGGCTGAGGTTGAATGTCACACTACAATCAGTGCCATCCTCCCTGCCATACAGTACTGCCTCGGACAAAGAGCTTCTTGGAGGCAAATATAGTCAAATATGAATTTGACAGAAGTTCATCCAGGGGAATGGGGATGTAGCTTAGTTGGTAGAGCATCTGCCTAGCCTTCAGGAGGCCCTGGGTTTGAGCCTCAGCACCATGTAAACTGGGCCTGGTGGGGTACACCTGTAACCCCGGCACTCAGGGGCGGGGGCAGCAGGAGTAGTCAAGGTTTCAGCTTGGTCTCCATGAGGGACTGTCTAGGAGACAAATTTTAATTATGTGAAATTTTTATGACCTAATTAATTAATGGATTGGATCAAAGAGCAGGGCCCGAAAAGAGCCCCAGTGAGGCCTTAGATGAGAAAACTCCCTGTTAACTCTCCTTCGCTTTCTCAGAAGACCATGACCTTGCATGAGGTGCTTGCTCCCATGCTTGCCAGGTCTGCTGCCTCTGCAAACCTGCCTCGTGCCCCAGGCAGGAAGCAAAAGGAAACAACACAACCTTTTAAAATTCTATTTATTTATTTTTAAGTCTAAGCAAAGTGGGTCTCTGAGATTCCAGAGGCCATCTTCAGCAGGGACAGGTCAGGATATCACAAGACTGGAACAGCATTCTGTTCAGTAGGAATACCACCGGCCTGCTTAGAGGAATCCTAGCCCAGACATCTGCCAACTGTGCAGCACCATAAATGATTGAAAACAATCGGATGCAAGATGCTCACAGTTCCATTAATGGCTCAGCGCTCCAATTTCCTACCAGTGAGGAGTTTCTGAAGCGCTCTTGGCTAAGCAGGAAACCTCTGTATATCCATTAAGAGATACGCCTTCAATACTGATGTTTTCAAAGTAGCCTATTTCTTTTTATAAAAATATAATTTAGGAGGCTGGGGAGGGAGGAAGGGAGAGAGGGAGGGAGGGAAGGAGGGAGAGAAGGAGGTAGAGAGAGAGAGGGAGAGAGAGGGAGGGAGGGAGGGAGGGAGAGAGAGAGAGAGAGAGAGAGAGAGAGAGAGAGAGAGAGAGAGAGAGAGAGAGCGTGTGAGCAAGAAAGAGCTCAGTGGTTAAGAGCATTTCTTGCTCTTGCACTGGATCTGAATTTGGTTCCCAGCACCCAGATGGTGGCCCATAGCCCCCTGTAACTCCAATTCCAAGGATATGACTTCCTCTTATGACATTTTCAGGCACCACACAAACACAGTGCATAGACAAACATTCAGGCAAGACACTCATACATATAAGATAAAATAAAAAATTTTAAGTTAATATATATATATTTTTTAGAATATTAAAATATACTATCTGTGTTGTGTATAGAATCAAGTCCTCCTTGTCTGTCTGTGACCTCCAGCCTGTCATTCTTTTCCCCCAGGCCACTTTGCAAACCATTTTCTTGAATATCTTTCTTCATATTCTACATATAAATCTGTGAAAATGAGTAAAATATTTGGTCAAGCAGGCTGAGTTCAAGGCCAGACTGATCTACATATTTGAGTAGTTATTTTTACCAAGAAAAGATATTTGGTGATAGATAAACTCATGAAAAGACACCCAACATCCTCAGCAAACAGGAAAATGCATACTAAGGCACAGTGGGCTGTCATTATGTATCTTATACAATGTCTCAAACTTCAGATTAGACTAAACACTGGTGAGGCTGAGGGTGAACAGGGCTCCCTGTGGCAAGTGGCCCAAGCTGAAGAACAGCTTAGCATTTCTTGCCACCACGGCCCAGCTGTTCCACTCAGGCATGGATCAGAGCAAGGAAGTCAGTGTCCATGAAACTGACTGTTGTGGCAGCTTCGAGTGTAATAGCCCCATCCTGGGAACAATCCAAAGTGCAACAGCAGATAAGAAGCTGAGAAATTTCTATCCCATTCCAATAATGGGATGCTTCTCAGCAAAATCAGAAGAGGTCCATGGCTGGCTGTATGCTCGGACATGCAAACAAACAGTGAAAGCCAGACTTTCCCATCTTGAAGGAAAGAGCAATTGGTCTCTTTGTAACTCCATTTATAGAAAACTCCAGAAAAAGCAAACTCACGGTGACAAAAAGCAGAGCAGAGTTGACTGGAACTGGGCAGAGAGAAATTTCAAGGGGCACAAAGGGACTTGTAGGAATACCACTCTATAGTATCTTGGCTATAAGCCACGGTGTCACAGATGTATGTCATACATCTAAGTGACCATTTGCCAAGTTGTTAGAGTATTGCATGGGCTGGTGAGACAGTTTACTGGGTAAAAGTACTTGCTGCTCAAGCCTGAAGACTTGAGCTCAAGCCCCAGAACCCATAGTGGAAGGAGAGAATGGACTGCCTGAAGTTGTTCTCTGATCTCCACATGTGTGCTGTGGTGCACACACCCACACTCACACATAAACATCACACACACACACACACACACAGATAACATTAAAAATAATAAATTGTAGTCATTGCATTTATTTCATTTCATTTATTTCATGTCAATTGCACCTCATTACAGCAATTTTTTTCTTTAAGCATGAGTATATCCCATAGTTTCCCTCACTTGGGAAGGACCAAGTACAACTTGGGGATCGATTGTTCCTCTCCTTTCTTTCCATTTCTCCACTGAGCTGTTTAGGTTACATCCAGTCTTTCCCTGTAGAATTGGCTGTGATGCATCTCTTTGCATCTATAAGATCAGTCCTTAAGAGTGGAAACACTCCATCAAGGCTTCTGTTCATTTGTGACCTTGAAAGGTGATCTGAAATGACTCCATTTCTCTCACACACCCTCACCTGGCCCGTCTGAAAGGAAAGCAGTTTGCTCCTCAGTGTGGAAGAGGTGGCTTTCCTTTGGGGAGTCCTGCTTGCACTCAACTCGTGGCTTCCAAAGTTTCTTTGGGAACAGGAAAGTCTTGAATCAGCTGTGGATAGTCAGGACACCACTTCGACTTTCTGACTGAGCACTGAAGGGCTGGGCTGAAGGGACACCTGCGTTATCGAAGAGGAAGGGGTGTCCGCCATTAGTCACCAAGGTGTACCGCACTTTAAGGGAGACCATGTCTCCCCTCCCCATATCCACTGAGCATGGAGTAATGTTCTCTGCCCTGGGGTACAGAAGGATGGCTCAGGACAGCTCTGTCAGTCGAGGTGATCACAGTTCCCGAGTGGGAGACCCAGAAGCACCTGGTGAATAGAATGACAAGGGACTAAGTGCTATGTTGGGAGTGCAGGGAGCACAAAGGAAATGAAGAATCACAGAGGAGAGGCAGGCCAGGGAGGTTTCTGCCAATGGCCATTTGGGTGTGCCCTGAGCTGAATATTGGTGTCTGTCATGAAATTGAGCCCCCCACATGATGGTCTTAAGAAGTGAGAGCTTTTAGGCAGTCAGTTCTGGTGGAGGGGCCCCCACGAACGGCATCCTTGTGAAAGCCATAGGGAGCTTGCTCTCTCTGCCCGGTGAGGGGACAATGGCCTTCCACAAGCTGGGGTGGACTCTCACCAGACAACAGGTCTCTGGATCCTCCATCTTGAAATCCCCATCCTCTGAGACTGTGGTAATTTGTTATAGTAGCTGAAAAATGAGACAAAAAGGCTTTGAAATTGAGCTAAAATTCACATAATAGAAAATGAATCACTTCCAAATGAGTGTATAATTCTCTCCCATTTAGTATATCCCTATTATCCCTAAAGGAAACCCGGTGCCCGCTGAGTATTTGTTCCTTATGGGTGGGTTTTAAAGTGAGATACATTTCATATCAGGCTTGGAAAGAACACTCTGGAGTGATGTGTCTGACTTATGGGTGAAGGGCTGACAGGATGACAGGATGGATGGGATGCAGAGCAGGACGATGGCCGTGGAGACCTTACATGCCCAGCTCTATCATGGAGAGCGAGGCTGGACCCACTTGACGAATCTCCTCTTTGAGCTTTCAGCTTCCACAAAAATTCACCGTGTGGTCAGGGGTCTAGTACGGACCTGATGTCTTCCCAAACAGTCAGGGCTGAGAGAGTGGGGAGCTCTACACAGCCCAGGAAGCAAAGGCAAACAGGTGCAAAGGAACAGAACACGGAGTGGCTTTGAGATGTGGCTCTGGCACCAAGGACCAGACACTTCTGCTTAGAAACTCAATGAGCCAAAGGCAGCTACTGTTCTATGGGGGACCCTGGCAATTTGAACACAGTGTTTAGTCTTATATTATTTCTGAGCTGTAGGAGAAAGCGACTCTACTGAAAAAAAAAAAACCAGTGTGTATGTTAAACAGATGTTAGCACACACCTTGGGGTTAGCTCTGGTCAACCAAGACTCCTCCTTGCTAAATTACCACTGATGTGGGATGCCCCTCTGTATGCTGTGAACATGTTTCATTACCATTAGTTAATAAAGAAGCTCAGGATATGCCTGAGCCATTGGTCAAACAATTACAATTAGTATGAAGCCTCTGAGTGTTTATTCGGGAACTGGCAGGCAGGGGAGAAACCTCCATTTACCACCATCTTTAGTTCAGCTGCTCACAAAAGGTCATCATGGCTGGACTTGCTGACAGCTGTTGTTTCCTCATAGAAGGAGGGGTAAGGGAGGGTTGTGCAACCCTCACAGGAGCATCCGGCTATGGCTCCCAACCAGTTGGATACAGTTTTGTCTTAATCGCTCATGGTCTTGGGCACAGTGGGGGGTGTGGCTAGAGTATTTAGGCAGGGAAGGTGTGAGGAGGAGGTGTCATTCTCCATGCTGGGGGCAGCTCTGCCATGACTGCTTTATGGTCATCCACACTCCTGTTCATAACCTCTTATCCTTGCTCTGTAAAAGAGCCCAGCAGACGTTGGCTCCCCAGAGTGAGCTCAGTGGAATCGAATCCTACCTGGGTTTGACTGTGGAGTACAGAAGGAGGGGTAGACTTTGTTTCTGTCTCTCCCATGGAAGGAATTTTAGCATCACTTGGCATGCAGCTTTCAGTAACCAACAAAACCAAGGATGAGTTTGGAAAGAGAAATAGTGGTGTCCATGACATGGAGAATGACACAAACAACCAAAGTGATGTCGCATGGGGCGGGGGTAGGGTGTTTGCGGAGGAAGTTTTGGCATGGTGGTATGTCCCTGTAGGGCTTGTGGGGGTAGTGGCAGGCCACTTGGGTGGGGGATGTGTGTGTGTGAAATCCTGGATGACAGTCTTCTGGGTCAGTGTTTCTCAACCTGTGTGGTCTCCATCCCTTGGGGGGCAAATGACCCATTCACAGGAGTCTAAAGGGGTCACATAAGACCATCAGAAAATACAGATATTTACATTATGATCATAACAGTAGCAAAATCACAGTTATGAAGTAGCAACGAAATTGCCTTTATGGCTGAGGGTCACAGAGACATGGGGAACTGTATGAAGGGAGGAAGCATTGGGAAGGTGTTGGTAATAGAGTGGTACCCCTGCTTGGTGGGTAGGATCCTGGGAGTATGGAGATACTTTGAGAACAACCTGATGTCTAGAGCAGTCAGGCCCTGGGAGTAGCACATCATGGGCAGAGGCAGCCTGGTTGCTGTTACGGAGAGCAAGAGGACAGGCGGAGGTGGCTGTCCACAGGGAGATGGTGTGTTTACAGAAGGAATTGCAATAAAACCATGTGGCCAGCTTTCTCCACATTAGCCTCTGAACTAGCAGGAAAATTGGGTAAGAGGATGAAGTGGAGGTTTTGGCTTACTGCTTCTCGAGACTGGGGAGGGCCAAAGGGTAAAAAGAACAGAGATCATGTCTGTATTATCTGTATTAATGAGTCCTTCCTGGAACCCTGGGGAAGAGGAGGTGACAGGAGATACCCCTTAGGTGCAGCCTTTGGTACAGAGAAGGGAAAAAAAATCCAAGATCAAGCATGTAGCCAGGGGCTCAAAGGCAGCCTGGTGTGAGAAAACCAAGCTCATCAGAGAACGACCAGAGCTGCAGCTGTGGGATTTAAGGAAAAGAGCTCCAGAAGCTATGGCTGACTCTCTTGGGCTGGTTTGTGAGGTCCTGGGATGAGAGGAGGCCTGGATCACTTTGAATGAAGCAAACAATATAACCACACACCTGTCCTTGACACAAGCTGTGAAGCCTGAGGTTAACACAAGGACAATTGATGGGCGGCTCATAGGAGCTCCTTAGCATCATTAGTAGCGGATGTCACCATGAGGACAATAGGAGGGACAGGTGGCACTACTGAGGGAACAGGTTGGAAGCAATGCATGATGCCCAGGTCACAGGGCCTGAGGGGACGGTGTTCACCGCAGAATTATGGAGGACTGGACCCAGCAAGACCTGAGTGGCTGGGAGCTTTAGTGGCTCTGCTGAGCCCTTCTGTGGGGCAGGATCTTTATGAGTAGGAATGACTTTGGCTGCCCTAAGTGACTTAGACTAGTATGTCTGTAGGTGGGAGAGCAACGTGGAGGAGCTAAAAGTCTGTCTGGATTACTTGAAGGTACATGTCAAGAATTGCATGGAGTGGGCCGTTGGTGGCTCACGCCTGTAATCCCAGCACTTGGGAGGCAGAGGCAGGCAGATCTCTGTGAGTTCGAGGCCAGCCTGGTCTACAGAGTGAGTTCCAGGACAACTTCTAAAGCAATACAGAGAGAAACCCTGTCTCAAAAAACCAAAAGAACTGCATGGAGGCCAAGTTAAGAAAACAAAAACAAACAAACAAAAAAAATGGACAGAAAAGCCAGATTCTATTCCAAGGAGCATCTGAAGACTCTAAAGCTGTTAAGTGCAGTGGCCCATCCTGTCCCAGGGCTGGGCAATTATCCCATCAGACTAAGCAATTTCTCCTGTAGAGGCTATAGTAGGGGTAGACACTGCTGAGCCAGGGGCTCTGAGTAGCCAAGTGTAGTGGATGGAGAGGCACCGGTTGGGACTATTGCCACAGCTCTAACTTGTCCTGGGTACCAGTCTGAGCAGCGGGGACAGCAGGGACAAACAGTGGGGCCTCATTCTCCTTTGACTCTGGGCAGGGCCAAGAAGCATGAGCTCCCCCCAGTGAATTCATGGCAGCAGGAGTGTGTGTGAGGAGATTCCATGGAAGAGATCCAGGGTACAGAAGTGGAATCTTTATTTGTTTGTCTGTTTATTTAGCTTTTCCACACAGGGTTTCTCTAACAGCCCTGGTCATCCTTTATAGACTTTGTAGACCAAGCTGGCCTTGAACTCACAGAGATCCGCCTGCCTCTGCAACTCAAGTGCTGGGATTAAAGGTGTGTGCCACCACCACCCAGCCATAAGTGGAATCTTTTCATGCCAATAAACTTTAGTATCTAAGCTGTGAATTTCTGAGATCTGACGCTTGCTAGGAGCACATGACAGTGGGCTTTCAGAGTGCTTCAGCAAGGCTGTCTGTGTAGCCTTACAATTCTTTACGGATGAGGTTCAGGACTTCGGGTTATGGTCCTGCCTATTCTCTCTCTCTCTTTTTTTTAAAGGAAGTCCTGTTATATAGGTAGTATAATGCTAACTCTTGAGGGTTCTACAGATTTGAAAATGCACTGGAGAGGCATAGGAGTGTACCAGGAGGAGCAAGGATGGGGATTTAGTTCACAAAGGTGCAAAGGCCAGGTGGGGTTGCAGTGGAATTCTTGGGTGTCTTATGGTTGTGTGCAGGTGGGCTTGCAAATGTTAACTATGAAGAAGGGTATCTTTGAGAGTAGAAACAGACCCTCCCAGAAGCCATAAGGGTGTTAAGAATTCCAGTGCTTGGAGTGGGAGACCTCCCAAGGAGATTTCATTTTAGATAAGAGGGTGCCTTTAAATTTTTATTTTTATTAAAAGATTCATTTTATGTGTATGAATGTCTTACCTGCATGTTTGTATATGCACCATGTGCATGCAGTGGGCATTGGACCTCCTGGATCTAGTTAGACAGTTGTGAGCTGCTGGGTCCTCTTAACTGTGCTCTTAACTGTTGAGCCATCTCTCCAGCCCCTCCATAGGAATTGTTGGCCCTGGGTGACTCTAAAACAACAAAGGTTATCACTATCGTTGCTGGTCGCATGCAGAGCTGCCCTGTTGCTGAAGATACTGCCATGCTTTGGTTGTAGGACTTGTAGAAACAAAAGCTAGGACTGAGCAGGAAGTGTCACCTCCCTGTAGGACCAGAAATTGCTACTAGGGTTGCTGGACAGAATTAAGGCCCAAAATTCCTACTCAGCTGTGGATCCTGCTTGCTTCATACTGAAAGTGCCAGGCAAGAGGCCCCATCTAGTGGGGTAGTGGCTCAACTAGTTACGGCTAGAACCAGCTTTCTGACTGGACCTGAGGCCTGATTCACAGTGGATAACTCACATCTGGTACAGGGAATTTAGACAAGGCATGTGACCAGGGAAGGCATAGGCTCCTGTGAGAAGCAACTGCTCTTGCTTGGTTTAGTGATGTGAGGTGTTTCCACATTTGTGTTTACAGTCACAGGTTATTACTGTAGTCTGTGTCCATGTGGATACCTTTCTGCTTTCATCCTCTTCCTTACATTGGGTTTCCTTCTCCAAAATGCAAGACTCACCAACAGGTACATTCTAGAGACAGGGGCTACAGAGAGGGCCCCAGGCTTTTATTTAACTTTCTTTGAGGCTCAGGATCTCTTGGGGAGACTGGAAATAATGTAAGAACCAGAGTAGTCTGTCTAGGGCAGTAGTTCTCAACCTTCCTAATTCAGCGACCCTTTAAAAAGTTCCTCATGTTGTGATGATCCCCAGCCACAAAATTATTTCCATTGCTATTTCATAATTATAATTCCGCTACTGTTAGGAAGTGTAATGTAGAAGGGTTGTTCAACCACAAAGGGGTCTTGACCCACCACAAAGGGGTCTTGACCCACCACAAAGGGGTCTTGACCCACCACAAAGGGGCCTTGACCCACCACAAAGGGGTCTTGACCCACCACAAAGGGGCTTGACCCACCACAAAGGGGGCTTGACCCACCACAAAGGGGGCTTGACCCACAGGTTGAGAACCACTGGTCTAGGGCTATCTTCTAAGTCACACTGTTGTCATCTTCAGTTTTTCTGGGCATAAAAGATCATCACAGCTGGGCCTGTTGACTGTTGGCATTTCCTCATAGAAGGGAGGGCTCTAGAGGGTCATGGGACTTCTAACCAGTTGTGTACAAGTCTGCCCTAATTACACATGACCTAAGGGACGAGCTAGAGCACACAGGCTGGGAGTAACTAGGGGAAAGGGCTCCATCTGTTCGATCACAGAGGACTTGCCATTCATGCTGGGTGTAGACCTTCCAGAGTAGCTTGTTTTAGGGTCACCCCCGCTCCTGCCCATAACCCCTGACCCACTGCTTTGTAGGCAAGTGTAATAAAGTCATTGGCTCCCCAGGGTTAACTTTGGAGGAATTGTTTCTCAGTTTGCTGTTGAGATCACAGGAAGGAGGAGTAGACATTGTCTTGTTCAGGGAAGGAATTTTATCATTTCTTCATACACTGTGCTAGACCAGGAGGCTAGGGAGGTTCTTCAATAATGACAGGTCATGGGTTGTTCAGGAAGCGAAATTAGGCTGCTACATGCAGGGTGACAAAGAGGTTAGACAGAGGCAGGATGGCATGCCTACAACAGCTGCCACAGTCAGGCAGTGTGAACCAGCTCCAGTGAGACATGACGGGGAGAGGGGAATGGAGAGGATGGTGGACTTATTTATTCTAGGGTGAAAAAATATAAAATGTCACCTTCATGTTTAACCCTATTGGCACTGGATTAAAAGCAGGTACCAACCATATCGGTGTGCTTCTCAAGATGTAAGAACTTTCTGCAAAAGTTTGGGTCTTCGAAAATACCCAAAACAAATGGGTTTAAGGTAAGTGATCATTTGCTAAAAGCCCCATCTCTCAAAGGAGGCAAATGGAAAACCACAGAGATGTCAGGCTGAGTTATCAAAGGACCATGTGGGAGGAAAGAAAGTCTTCCAGCATCGTGGGAATGCTTCTAAGCAGGAAGTTAAAGCTTCAGCACCAGCCTTTTTAGATTCCCATGTCTTCTGAGAGCATAGAAAAGAGCTTTGCGCACTGAGTGACTCTGCTGAGCTGGAACCCTGCAGCCAAGGCGAAGAACCTTGTTGGTTGCAGCTCGGCCACACGATCCGTCCTCTGGAGTCTTGTTTTTCTCCTGGCTTTCACACTAAGGAAAATGTCCTGATGGCAGGCATCTTCAGTGAGCTTACAGCAACAGACTTGCTACTACTTCTAGTCATCTCTTGCTTTGAGAGGAGGGTGCCCTGGGACAAGCTCAGGGCCTTTTGTGAGGAAAGGGTTGAGCAAGCGGCAACAGCGGCTCATCTTCAGAAAGGCACCATTGCAGTCACTTGGATGGCCTTGCTGCTGGCCAGGAAGGCTACGAAAGTGGCTGCAAGAAGGTGGAGAGGTTGCACTGTGATAGCCACCTTAGCATTTCCTTTGACTTCACTGCAGTCTACGGTGCCATCCACCAGTACTCACAGGCGAATGTAACTCAATGTAACTCACAGGCGAATGTAACTCACAGGCGAATGTAACTCAATGTAACTCACAGGCGAATGTAACTCTCAGGCAAATGTAACTCACAGGCAAATGTAACTCTCAGATGGGGCCTCTCAACAAGCACTTGGATAATGGCTTGCCTTTGAATAATGCTATAAAATTCTAAATGATTACTTTTAAGAAAAATCAGCGATTTTTATTTCCTGTATTTCTTAAATCAGGCAGCTAGAGTTAAAAGATTTTGTAAAACTTAAGATTTGACATCAGAGCTGGGCAGTGGTGGCGCACGCCTTTAATCCCAGCACTCAGGAGGCAGAGGTAGGCCGATCTCTGTGAGTTCGAGGCCAGGCTGGACCGACAGCCTCCAAAACAATACAGAGAAACCCTGTCTCGTAAAACAAAAAAAACAAAACAAAAAAAAGATTTGACATCAGAGCCATCAAGAGCCGGTAGAACACTTGCCCAGCATGCACAAAACCCTGGCTTTCTCCCCCAGTGCAGGGAAAACAAGCCCTCAAGACTCAAGCCCCTTACCCACCTCCTCAGTGACTGAGCAAAGCTCCACTTGTATTTCCTGTCTATGAAATGGAAAGGCTACCCACATGAAGGCGCTGGTTGTTATTTGTGTCTACATGGGAGTGCACACACGCACGCATGCAGTGGGTTGTAGGGTTAGGATCCCCAGGGAAGAGGGAAATCACGTTGGTCAGGGGGGAGCAGCTGCAGTGCTGAGAACAATGTGGTCAGATAAAGGACAGAGTGGAGTGCGGGCTGCTGTGGGGGCAGGGCTTCGCTCTGGTTAGTCCAGCAGCTATGTAACTGGTACACTAAAGCCCGTCAGTACACTTTACAAGGCTGAGTTTCTCTACATGGATTGCATCCATTATACTGTTAGTTGTCATACTGGGACTCAAAGCCAGGGTCTCCTGCATGCTCAGCAAGCACTCTACTGTTGGGCTGTAGGCAGCCCTGATTAGTGTTATTGTAAAAAGAGACAAAAACATGTGTAAGAACATCTGGTTCAAGGGTTGGGAAATGAGGTATTTCTGTTTCTGGAGAATCAAGTTCAAATAGTCATTTAAGGAGATGAGGACATAGCGTTTCTGACTAAAATACACATTTTTAGACTTTTGTCATAACCTCTGACATTTCATGATAAAGATGCTGTCCTTCATTTTAAAAAACTACATGTATAGTTGCTTTGCCTTTGTCTGTACCACATACACGCTGGGAATTGAACCTGGCTCCTCTGGAAGAGCAGCCAGTGCTCTTGCCCTCTCCAGCCTCTTTCCTTCATTCATGAGCTCAAACACCACCCAACTGTTCATGCAAAGGCTTGGGGCATTGTGAGAAGCCCTTCGCAGCAGTGACATCGTAATCCCAGAGGGGTGCAAGGTCATCTCACCAGTACAGATAACCACAGGCATGGCTATTTTGGATATTTAATTTATTAAATTATATAACAAAGTTTCTTCTATACAGTCAGAAAATGCATATTTAGATGAGAACAAAAATTAAGTACAAATACAATAATATTGGTTCCAAGAAGCTATTTTAAAAGCAAAAAATTAGAAAGTGCATTTGGAAAAGAATAGATTAAAAAAAATCAGTATTGGCATTTTTCATGAGGAATAGTCTTCCCTCAGAATAAAGTGTGATCAGAACTGATTCTGCTCCCATCTCTAAGAGTTACTAGGGTGTGGTATAAGTATTTGGTACTACAATTTTAGATTAGATACCAAAAAAAAAAAAAAAACCCAAACCAAACCAAAAACAAAAACCAAAAAAAAAGGGAGGGGGAGAGAGATACTTAAGACCCCCAACTTTTCACCTAGACACTATGCTTAGACCCTGCTTCATGTCCCCGGTTCCCCAAGAAAGGGATGTGTGGGCACATACAGGAATGAACAAGCTGAGTTTGGGACCACAGTGGGAAAATTTACATCTTTTTGGAAGACCCTACTGTAAAATAAGAATGGAACAAAGTCATTTGAGTAGGTTTGTTTTCTGTCACATTTGCCACAAATGACCAGGGCACAGCCATTTATCCCAACAATTTAATATTACAAGTTCAAAAACTCAGTAAGGTCATATCCATTCTTATAAGCCACTCCCTTGGGCTCCAATCATCAGCAATGAGACAGGGTAGTAATGGTGGGGGTCAAGGTCAAGGTCCCTCAACTCCATGGCCCCAGGTCACAGCATCAGGACCAGCGAGCATTTCCCCTCACAGAGCCACACCCAGCATGGAGGTGCTCAGGTGTCTGGTTCTAGGTATTGAGTATCCTCAAGGTAGCTCTTTCCTCACTTGTCTCCATTCTAAGATTCCCACATTTGGTTTGAATACCAGAAGAAAGGAAAAAAAACATTCTCAATAAAAGTAAACTTGGTACCAAGGAGAAGGGGAAAATAAAAGTGACAAATGCAGGTGGCAGAGAACCCTTCAGCATCACTGAAGCCCAGGACTTCCAAGGGCAGGTAACCCGCCACACTTGTGGATCTCAGTAAAACGTACTGAGCATCTTTACTAAGTCACTGGTACACAGTAAGGCAGAATTGTAGAAATTTACTGTTGGGGCCAGGCATGGGTGTATGCTTCAGACAGCAGTCCAAGATTCTCAAGAGGCTGAGGCAGGAGTTCAAGGCCAGGTAGGCTACATGATGAGACTCTCAAGACAACTTGGAATTTTCTGCTGTTTATTTCCATCTTTCCTATCTTTTAGTGAAGTGGGAAGTTTTGAATGGTTACTAAAAATATTTTTAAAAAGGCATTCTGTAAAAATGATGGCCTCAGGAACAAATCTTTTCTAAGAAGCAACACTGCATTGGAATCACAAATCAAAAAACCCTCTGACCTCAGGCTCTGACCAGAAATCTTAACTGCCAGCTCCTGAGCCTGAAAACTGGGTATGTAAGGATAGCTCAAAGGAGAGAAACGAAGATGACGTGAAAAAAGTTAAATGTCTTAAACTGAGGTTCCAATCTGAAACCACAGGGTCCTGTAAAGGTGGGACTGGAAGGGTGGGAGCAGCCCTCCCTCTGGGGCAACATGGGAAGACAGCAAACTCCGACCCCAGCATCTACAGAGTGTTCTCAGCATCCTTGGAAGAACTGGTTTACTTTCAAAAAGAAAGCAGGCAACACAATCCTACCCTCATCTGAGCAGTCTCCTGGGGTGGCCCACCTGCCACCAATGCGTGCTGTGCTGGGACCACCTGGCACCAAGCCCTGTCCTAGCTTATTCTCCCACATCAGCTTTAGTGGACAAACCAAATAATCAAACCAGTAGAAAAGACTGGCAATATATTTAAATAAATAACTTTATTTAGTATACTTCAGGCTTTATACATGCCCACTATATAACAACTAAAGTCCCATAAAGTCTAGCTGAGGCACAACCACCAATCGAGGCCCTTTGAAAAAAATCAAAGATAATAAAGTGTCAGGGAAGAGAAGTTCTGTTCTCCCAAAGAGAATTCAACCAACAAAATCCCCTGATTCTTTACAGTCCACAGTGGGAAATCTAAATTCCTTTTAAGGGCATGCCCAGTTAACAAGCTGATTAACCCATATTTAGAAAAATAAACCCCATAATTGAGAAAATATATCGAATGCCTTCCATAGCCAGAATGTACTAACACTTCAACACCAGAAGACAGACCTCTCAGTCAGTCCCAGACTGATGTCAGTCTATCCATGAGCATCAGTGTATCAAGTCCGCCCAGCGGCACCATCTCCACACCCTGAGGTGGTGAAGAGCTCCACCCTAATACCCTCTCTCATTGCCTGTGGTGCCAATGGGGACTAGCAGCCATCACTTTAGGTGAGCACAGACGCTGGAGGTCTTTAAAATAGCTGCTAGCTCAGTAAGACAAGTTATCAAGTTCAGATGCTAAGAAATAGCTAACCTCAAAAAGCACTTAAACTCCGTCACTGTCCGTAGCAATAGATAGGTGGATAGGAGTCACAGGCACCTTCAATGGTGGGACCATGGCCTGGGGGTACAGAGTCTAACAGATGAGGAATGAGTAGGTCCTCATAGGGCAGAGTTCCTTCGAATCAGGCTACAGTAATTAAGCCTTTGCTCCAGGCTGCAGAGCACTGTCAAATGGAATGACATGGAGAGCCACCCTTCAATGTCTTCTCACATATGGCTCATGAGCAGATCTCACTGAGAGTCAGGGTCCCCTCCCTCAGTTCCTAGTATTGATCTTCACATGATAAGGGACCACTAGGGGCAATGACAGACACTGGCTGTCTGTCCGGTAGAAATGTGATTTTCTCATGTAGAAGCACTTATTAACCCAATGGGAGAACTAATGAGCAATGCCATCTCCTCAGGGCAAGGCCTGCATTCTTGATGTTTCCAGCCGTACAGTTGACCTAGGGTGCACAACAGAAACAGAAAAGACACACCCTTTCTACAGAGCTCTCCATTCCAGACAACCTCACGTGTGATGAAGCTGGGCTATCAGCATCTTACAAAACTGGTGCAAAATGGAATTTTTCTTGACTGCCAAGAGTTAGGGAAAGAGTAGAATCTAGATCACTGAGCATCAGCAAAGCACAGCTGATTTCTCATCACAAGTGTTAAATAAAAGGACAAGAATTACTTTTATTCACATCCAATCTCATGGCTGAAAGCAAAGCCATCTTTGGATGTGGAGAGCCTGCCACTGTGAGGACTCCAGCTATGAGGCCTGCTGGTCATCAGGCTTCACCAGTCACTGAAGCCCAGGTTTTCGGCTTCTGCTTGCTTACCTCCTAGGGAGCCACAAGCGACTGAAAACCTTTTGTTGTTGTTTTTAAAATGAAAAACAGAGTAATGTGTATTAGAAAAAATAGCACAGGAAAACTGTGGCTTCAGCTCAATTCAACCAGGTCCGAGTCGTGGGTGCAGTTTAGATTTCATCTGGCTGCCAGGTCCATGGCCAGGGCAGTCTTTCTCCTTTCTCATTCCCCACTCCAGGTCAGGGCATGAAGGCAGTGGGCAGAGGCCTGGGGCCGTCCTTTCAGTGGAACGCATACAGCAGCAATAGAATGGTACAGATGCCGATGACCCCTCCAAGAATGAGCGAGTCTCGTCGTTTCCTAAGGTTGATCCTTTGTATCAGGCTGTTCACAGCAGGAAAACGGTCTTTGGGAAACCTTGTTAAGGTCATACTCGAGAGAAGTGTCTTTAATGGAAGTGACAGGAATCACAAACAGCCATTACAGGGAAGAGAAGAGCAGCCCACTTTCCCAAACTGGGCAAACAACCACCCAGGCTGTGAAGTGCGCCAGCAAGAACAATGGAAAGAAGAGAATCAGTGGAGAAACAAGGACAGTGCCGAGTCCGCCAGGGCTTCTGGGCTGGCTCTGCAGCTCCCCTGTCTGTCCTGTGCCCTTCCCTCAGAGACAGGAGCTCTGAAGAGAACTCCACCCTCTCTGCTCAGGAAGGAGTCCTTGGACTCACGCGGTTGGGTACTAGTGAATTATTTAAAATTTTAGGTTTACTTTGCAGTGGTCAGCACTCTGTAGCAGTAAAATGGGCTAAACGTTCTAGCTGCTCTATGAGAGAGAGAGAGAGAGACAGAGAGAGACAGAGAGACAGAGACAGACAGAGAGACAGAGACAGACAAACAGACAGAATTAGGAAATTTTTGTTTTTGGGCTTTGATACGTTATTAACACACCCCCTACATGTGTTGGCCAAAGTGGCCGCACTGCTGCACTGTCCCATAGCTCTGTCAAGACACCCCTTTTTGTTGGTAAAGTCATTACATCAAGTTTACAATGACCAATGACCACGCCTCTTGTTGAGAAACGTCCATGTACTCCCCCTATGACTGTTACAGGAACACATCTACACATTGTATGATCGTGACTCTAAAATGTCTTCAATGTCTAGAGTATATACTCCTGGCGTTAGTATATTTCTGAATGGGAAAAAAAGGACAAGTGATAGAGAAACATTTAAAAATTGGGAACAGGACACACATATCAAAGTGACAAAACCTTTTACAAAGTAAGAACTTCCCACAGAGAAAATCCTTTACCTTTTCTTATTCAATGCAGGGGGCTGGGGAGATGGTCAGAGTTAAGAATGTTGGCTGATCTGCCCCAGACTCAAGTTCTGTTTCTACAACCCACAACGGGCAGCTTACAGTAACCTGTAACTCCGCTAACCCTTCTTTTGGCCTCTGTGAGAGTATACACACACACATACACATACACACACACACACAGAAAGAGATTAAAAAAATAAAATAACATAAAATTGTGGCATCAGAAAACCTTGACTGTAATGGCTACTTTTTTTTTTTTTTTAAATCTCTGAGGACTATTCCTCTCATTTCTAATAACCCAATTCAGGGGTGAGGCTGAACCCAAGCTCTGCAGGCAGAGGCAGCTATACTTAGGAGGTAAAACAGTTCTCTCCTTGGCCAGTGGCTTAGCTAGGAATGGGCACTGGTTTAGGCTGTTAGAAAATTTGTTCTTTTCCTATGGCCTTCAAGTTGTGCCATAGCCATCTGTAGTCATAAGGACAGAGGCAGGCTAACACAGAGAAAAAAGGAGATCTGTGATGGGAGAGGAGGAGACGCTGGGAAATGACAGCCTCCTGCTGGTCACACTGATACAATCAAACCCAGGTCCTCACGTTTGTATGGAAGGCACTTTACCACTGAGCACACACTTCTGGAATGATGAGAGTTTTATCTGTAGTGGGCAATACGATGGGGTTGGATACTGCTTCTTTAGTACAACTTGGGGCTTGGAGGACACATATATTCAGACAGAAGGCACAAAGCACAGTGGTAATAAATCTGAACGAACAACTCAGTTTCAACTAGAATGTAAAATAACCCAACTATGCAGCCACCACTTCAGTTTTTTATTTTATTTAAATTTCTGAGAGATGGTCTCACTGTTGTAGCCCTGGCTGGCCTGGAACTTGCTTTGTAGACCAGGTTTGCCTTGAACTCAAGAGACCTGCAGGCCTCTTCCTCCCAAATACTGGGATTAAAAAGGAATTGTGCTTCCACACCTAGTTTCTATTTTATTTTCAATGGTTACACAAAATATAAACATTTTACATTAAGTTGTCTCTGCTCTTGCTGGTGACTAAGCTTATAGTTTATAGGAAACACAGTATGTCTCTTCAATGGGGCTGAGACCTAAGTATCACCTTAGTACCGGAGTCTAGGAGTTCGGACTAGCCTGGGAGTTATATAACAGCGTCCTGTGCGATTGAAACATTCCATCATGCAGGAAAACTCCTTAAGCCAGGGGGTAAACAACTCAAGAAAGCTTCAGGAAGTCCCGGAAACTCACTGACATTTGCCAAAATAAGCAGAACTAGCAAACAAAGAAGACTCTTAAAATCAGATCAGCGCCGGGCGGTGGTGGCGCACGCCTTTAATCCCAGCACTCGGGAGGCAGAGGCAGACGGATCTCTGTGAGTTCGAGGCCGGGCTGGACCGATAGCCTCCGAAACAATACAGAGAAACCCAGTCTCGTAAAAACAAAAACAACAACAACAACAACAAAAAAATCAGATCAGCTACTTACAAGAGGTTTAGACCAAAGCCACTTGGAAAGGGCACTTTCCAACCTGTTGAGCTGCCTGCAGGTTGTACAGTGTGCTCCAAGTTTCCTAGCTTTTGTGAGCTGTCATTCATGCTGGGGTGGGCCTGATGATGAGATATCTATGAGTTATTCCTGTTCCTGTAAGTAACCCTGCATTCCTATTTCTGTAAATAACAACAATAAAGCTCATTGGTTTACCAAGTTGGACTCTGGTGGTATCTGTAATTTGGTTTATAGTGGTCTCCATCTATGGGGTAAGTAGATGAGTGTGTTGCATCACCCCAGAAATGACTCACCATGCATTGACCATTTATGTGAGTTCTTGAGATTCAAACTTACACTGGGTGACAGAGAGGCAGTATGATATGATATGATTTCACAGAAATGAATGAGAAATGCACTGGGGGAGGATGACTCAGTGGACAACAGTGCTTGCTGTACAAGCATGAGGAACTGAGTCTGAATACCCAGCACTCACATAAAATGTCAATGCATAGTGCAAGCATCTGTTATCCTGGTGCTCCTGTGGGGAGATGGGAGATAGAGACAGGTGACTCCCTAGAAGCTTAGGGACCAACTAGCCTGAGACACACAGCTTCATACTAGAAATCCTGTCTCAAACTAGATACACACAAAGAAAGAAAAATCATGGGAATTTAAAATACAAACCTTCAGCTGGGCGTTGGTGGCACACACCTTTAATCCCAGGACTCTGGAGGCCAGCCTGTCTATAGAGCAAGTTCCAGGACAGCCTCCAAAACAATACAAAGAAACCTTTTCTCGAAAAAACAAAAAACAAACAAACAAAAAAATACAAACCTTCAATTTGCCATACACACACACACACACACACACACACACTAGCAGTGGAACTAGGCCAGGCCACTTTTCTGAGCCTAGTTCTTTATCTGCAAAGTAAATAAGTTTCTGTTTTTTCCCTTTAAGGGGAACGACAAAATGAGATATGAGTAGAATAGTACTGTGCAGACTGTACAGCACTGTATGAACTGAGTGATTTGGGATTGCGGTTTTTGTACTAGATTAATAAGAAAATTGATAAAGGACTGGAAAATGCTAAGCAATATCCTTTTGGGGGGCCAATAGATCATCAGGATAAAAGTACTGATAACCTGGCATTATGCTGACCCTGCCCCAATAACTGGCAGGGTACACAAACAGCCTTCAGACAGATAGTTAGACAGCTCAGCGGGCCCTCTGTTGCATGGTTACATCATGCATGCGTAAGGACTCTGTACGCAGAAAACAGGCAAGCTGGGACCAGATGATACTCAACTTTTGAAAATCTTAGGTCCTTCTTTACATCCACCCCAGAATCCTCCCACCCCCTTCTTTGAAGCAATCCTATTTTGAGTTGGAAAGCTAAAAGTTTAAAAATTAAAAAGCAGAAACTCTGCTCTGAACTTGGGCTTGTGCAGTCACCACATTCTACCAGAACTTCTACACACCCACAGGGTCCCCTCCCTTCAAGGTACTTGTGACTGATTTGTCCTCCAAAGTGGCAAGTTAGAAAACACAGTGTTGGCCCAGCACTCGGGAGGCAGAGGCAGGTGGATCTCTGTGAGTTCAAGGCCAGCCTGGGCTACAGAGAGAGTGCCAGGATAGGTCCCAAAGCTACACAGAGAAACCCTGTCTTGAAAGACAAAAAACAAACAAACAAACAAAAAAACCCACAGTGTTGGGGTGGTTGAGAACAACACATACAGGGGGTACTAACTTGAACCCAGAGCTTTTAAAGACAAAAAAATTGTGAATAATTTTACTAATCTAAATCTTGAGTGTTAAATCTCTGGAATGCTGTCTCCTAGAAATGGTACTAAAAGTAAGTTTACCACAAAGTAGGAAGTCCTCATATGATGTAACTGCTAAGGGATTCTACAGCTACCAATACTGGTGGACCTGCATCCCTACCCCCAGAAAATAGAAAAAAAAAACCCCACCAAAATAACAACAACAACAACAACAAAAAACTCCTTCATCCCATCAACAGATTTCAAAAAGGATACTGGCCAAAGTGTTCATTTTGCTGTGAATTGACTTGAGCATTCCTCTCTGTGAAGTCATATTTTCTTTTGTTGCCATAGCGATGCTTCAAGTGGGGGAAAGAGACAATGAGTTGGCACTGGAGAATTACCTTGCTCAATTCATCACTAGAAGTACAGTGAGCAACCAATCCCGGAATGACCAGGCAAGAAATGGGTACAAATCAGTGCCCAGCTACCTTGCCGTTGTCTTTTTCTGACTTAACCCACCATTATCCAATGAAGTCTTTTTGTTATGAGTCATCTTATATTTTCTTCAAAGTAACTAATGAAATGAGACATTAAGAGACAACTCATACATTACAAAGATGCTTCTAGTGGCTTTAAAAAGGACCAACTACTAAAATACTTTTAATCAGAAAAAACTTTATGAGGAAAGCAAAGAATCACAACCATAAAAACAGAGCCCAAGCATGTATCCGCATTCAACCAGCTCTCAACATAAAAGCAAAAGAGGTTTCAAAATTCTAGGGCATCAGTAGGCAGATCCAGGGATTCACTAAACATAACTGTGAAAGGGGAAAAATTGCCTTTTCATAGAATGCAGCCTCTTCTTGGGACCACTCTGACATCCTGTTGAGAATGTGAGATAATAATCTTTTTGTTATCACTTCCATGATCATGTATTTTCAAGTCTGATTGCCATAGATACTAGACTCCTAGAGGGTTACCTTGATATGTAACACATAGGAGAATGCTTTAGATATTAACAAAAAAATTGAAAGGGGGGAGTTTTTGGTAGATATGATCAAGAATCATTGTACATATTTAAAGTCAAATAAAATACACCCTAAAATTTATTTTAAAGAGTCACAGAAATTGGAGAGAAATGGTGGCTAGATAAACTTTCCTGATTTACCCTTGACCCGTTTTTCCTCCACAGAGTGACATCAGACCAAAGACACTTGAGCTGGGGAAGGACCATCTGAAGCCTTGGTTCCCTTGTGGGCTCTAAGGAAGACAGCCGGCTGGAGGGGCTACATATACCTTCTCAAGAAAGTGACCCAAAGAAACACAGGGAGCCTGACAATAGGAACCTGTGAACTCTGTGTCCTGAGGTTGCAGTAATGGACTCAATTCCCCTTGGCTCCTGTACTTGCAGAGAGACTTATGGGCTATTAGTGTAATGTTCGGCTCCTGAAGGGGAAAATCCACGGGACCATCCTTGCTGGTAAGCTTAACTTCATGGGCAAAGCTTCAGAACAAACTACAAGGTGAAGGGAGGTGCTAGAGGGACAATAAATTAATCAATACTCAATACTTGGGGGGGGGCAACAAAAATATCAAAAACACCCCACAAAGCCAGTGACCTCAAAGAACAAAGTCAGAAAGGCATAGGATGAGCTCAGTTTGGCACAGGATGTTTGGAAAAAGCAAGGAGTAGTTGTCCAAAGAGCTGGTCAGGAGATGGTCACTGAAGCCAGGAAAGGAAATGAGAGACAGGCAAACAAGGCGATAGCAGAAGGAAGCAGAAGAATGGGACTATCCTTTACAAGACTGCCAACAAGACCCAAAAACCTAGCTGTGGGGCTCTGGCCAAGGAAGGCTATGAGCACATTCTGTCTCTAAAGTGCACGAACTCTACACTGGTGGTCCTATACACAGCAGTGATGAAGGTCAGGCAGTGTCATGAAGATCCTGGGATCCAGACCATCATTTAGGAGCTGAGGCCTCAGCTTCCCAGATGCTGGGATTATGCGCATGTGCCACTTTGAAAGTCTTGAGAAGAAAGGAAACCAACAGAAGAAATGGAAATTGACCAAATTCTGCTTGAAATGACAACAAGGGCCTTGAACAAAGCACTCTCCTTTAAAATAGCTTTATGGTCTTACACAAAGTAACAGAATTCAAACCCAGGATGAGTAATGAGGACACTCTGAAACATATAGGCCTGTTTCTTAGAGGGGGACTACCATTATCTCATGTGCACTCTGACTCACAAGTGGATAGACATTAAAAAATAATTTCCACAAAGCACTTTGTATTCCTTGGAGAATGGATATGACTTTAAGTTATTACCTTGTTGAATATGCATGATTTCTAGTACCACATAAAGTCTATCTAGACATACTTTCCCATCTCATCCCATCATCTGTAGTTGAGCTGAGTGAAATGCAGGCTATTATTTCAAGTGTCAAATACTTAGAGATAAAACATAAGCTTCATATAATATATAATGCTTTAAAATGATAAATCATTCATATGCTTACTGGAACTTCAGATTTTGTATCAGTATTATGAACTAAGCATAATTACCTATCTAAAAAATGTGATTTACCTTGTGTGTACATGTGCATGCAGAGGTCAGAGGATAACTGTCAGGAGTTGGTACCTTTTTTCTACCATGAAGACCCCAAGGGTCCGGTCGTCACATTTGGTGGCGGGCTCCTAAATCCTCTGAGCCATCTCACTGTCTCAGAGCAGTGAGTTCTCGATATTACCACAGGCAAAGTCCTTAATTTCTTTTCATTTTGGCAGTATCTATTGATCCATGTCTAACTCATGAACCAGTTACTAAGAAGATTAAATGTCCCTTATAAAGGAAGGCCACAGCAGACATGCATTTCCATCTAGTGAAAGCCCCATCTCTAAGGAGCATGACTAGACCTTCACTCTAGTCAACAGGGTTGGCATGATTTGTTCATTAAGTGTGCAAAGAACAATGAAGTAAAAGAAAAACTATTCCTACCTTATTGTTTCTTCTATCAGACGATCAGAGCTGAAAAAAAGAAAGAAATTTCAAATTTTGGAAATAATTAAACTTACACTTCAAAATATTTAATTTTTTCCTATGTGTATAAACTTTATAGCCTTTTCTGTACATAGAATAATTAAGATTTTTTTTAGCACATCTAGAGAAAATCCTGAACTTAGAAATTAATTCAGTCACATGTGAAGTAATTTACATTTTGCTTTTGTCAATTAACCCTTTTGGTTTTTTTGTGACATTCCTTATTATTGAAGTCTGGCAGGTTTTAATGACAGCATCAAGAAGTGAAAGTTCTTCAATCCAGATAAAGCTGTCACTACTCTCTATTCAAAAGTAAGAATTACAACCAACTTTTTGAGACAAGATGATAAATGCAGTCTGGTGTCTCTAAGTAGTAGTACTCAAACCTCAAAGTTCCTGCCTATTTGGGAAAAAAACAAAACTAAACCAAAGCTTAGCTCCTGAAACTTCAGAATCCAAGAATGTGATCAAAAAACAAATATGCCTCCAACACCTCACACCATGTAAGAAATAGTCATTCTAGGAGGAACATACAGAGAGATAAGCTTGGGACTTAGTAATCGGGCTTTACTAAGCTTAACATCAGAAAGCACAGAAACAAATTTCCAGGATTCGACATTTATTTTGGCAAGTATAAGGCATGGAGTAGCACAAAAATAAATAATTGATTTCCCCAGCCACTTCCTTCCAAAAGAATTATTCTGTTCACTCTATAAAACAGAACACAGAGGTTTCAATTTAACAGTGATACAAAGTTCAATAAGGTGAGTTCCATAAGAATGCCTAAATACCTTACATAAGTCCTACAATTAAAAATTTAAAAAGTAAAAGCCAGATATCCTGGAACTCACCACAAAGATCAGGCTGGTCTCAAACTCAGAGATCCACCTGCCACCTGCCTCCTGAGTCCTGAGATTGACTACAGGTGTGTGCCGCCACCACCTAGCTTACTTCAAAGTATTTTGGTCAAACATCTTAGTAGGTAAAATAAAGAATTTAGAGTCAACAGGTGTGTTGACTATAACATAAATGAAATGCTTCAGAGTTTCCATTTTCTGTTAATGAATGTTTTAAAAGGATTGGAGGGCTGGGGATGAAGCTTAGCTGGTAGGGTTATATAAACTCTGTGCAGTGGCATATGCCTATAACTCCAACACTTGGAAAGTAGAGGCAGGAGGATCAGAAGTTGAAGATTATCCTCAGCTATGGAAAGAGTTCAAGACCAACTTGGCATACAAGACACCTTCGTCTCCAACAAACAAATGAATGAACGAACAGGACTGGGAGCCTTGAGATGAATCACAACACTTAAAAAATAGCACTCTGCAATGGTTTTTGAATCTTCTTATATATGGAGTTAAGAGCTAATCAGAAATACAACATACATCACGGTTAAGGTTCAACCATGTGGCTGTCTGAACCCATGTCATGGACTTTTCATACCATAAAGCTCACAGAAACAATCCAAGAGAAAGTGGCATGCACAAGGCATGAACCTACAGGTAAGGTTGATTCAGATCAAGGTACTTTGATGGCTCTTAGCTGCTCTTTAGTTAAGGTCTCCTTTCACAATTCCAAAAACTTAAAAGTGTATGTGTACGTGTGTGTGTGTGTGTTTGTGTATACAGGTGCCTATGGAGGCCACCAAAGGGCATCAGATCCTCTGGAACTCTAAGTCACGCAGCCATCTCTCCAACCCCTCATAGCTCTTAACATAAACAACTTACACATCTCAAAGTCTAGCTCAAAAGCTGTGCCCTTATGAAGCTTCCCTGGACCCACCTGTCTATACAGGCAAACCAAATTCTTCTTTACATTATAATATTACGCCCTCACATTAGTTCATTTGGGAATCTAATATTTAAAGCACTTTGGATATTGTGCTACAGAAAAAGAAAAGTTTTCACATAAACTCTCACTATCTCAGAGGATATCACATTTATTTGTTTACTACTTCTCTAAGCAGCATGAGTTCCCAGAGGTAGAGACTGGGTCTAATGCATCTTTGATTCCCTGGAGTCTAGTACAGTACCTAGCACACAGGAGATACTCATTAAATGCTTAATAAATGAATGAATAAATGAGTAACAGACACTTCTTGCATTAACAAAATATCAATCAGGATTAGCACTGGAATAATCCTTATAATCTTTGTAAGTTTTCCACAGAAGAACACACATTTTTATAATCATAATTTTATAATCCCTCATTATGACACAGTTCCTCCATTCGAAGACCTTTGTTAAGAAGGTTGTGTGTTGGCCAGATGCATGCCTTTAATCCCAGCACTCAGGAGGCAGAGGCAGGAGGATCTCTGTGAGTTTGAGGCCAGCCTGGTCTACAAAGCAAGTTCCAGGACAGCCTCCAAAACAATACAAACTCTGTCTCAAGAAAAGAAAAAAAAAAAAAAAAAAAAAGAAAATGAGCTGTGTGTAATAGCCCCAACTGTGAACTGACTGTGGGGCAAACCTATAACCCTAGTTCTTGGGAAGTGCGGGCAGGAGGACCACAAGTTCAAGGTCATCCTTGGCTAACCAAGTCATTCTGCTTTGCCATTTATTTCAATATTGCAGGTAAGTGGACTGCTTAAGGCAAATCTGTAATGGGGAACCTTGAACTACCCCATGAATGGAATGACTCATAAAGAAACAAATGCCACCTGTTTGCATAAGCTGAAATTCCAATTCTCTACTACACAAATGACCTCTGAGGGATTCCTTAGAATTTCTTCAACATACTTCCCAGTGTTCACTTCAGAACACTAATGTCTGAGGACTACTTAATTATCATCATGTCCTTCTTGTCACATGGACTGACACCTCTAAAGTCAAGAGCCAAACTAAGTCTTTTACTCCCTTTAAGTTTTAACTGTCTAGTGTGTGTGTGTGGTCATAGCAATGACAAACATTTTTTATCAAATAATACTTCCTAAAAGTTTTCCCTCTACCTAAGGCACTTTCTCTTTGGAGTAACATTTCACACATGCAAACACAAAAACAGAATATGTATGCATGTATATAAACTGTTTCCTTGTAGTTACATGTGAATAACAAGCAGCAAGCATGAACTTAGAACCAAGGCTGATGCATAAACTTGCTGTCCAGATAGATAATTGTGACTATTAACCATACCAGTCTGGTTTCCCTGCCAGCAACCCCACAGCATATAGCATTCAAAAATACTCAAGTCTGTCAACAAAACTACATGAATTAATGAGTACTCAAGATCAAATCCTTAGATGCCAGGATTCTGAATAATTTCTCTCACAGATATTATATCTGACCATTATATAACTTGAATTCTATGATACTTATTAAACAAACCTACAATGCAACATCTTTAGAGACTTACTTTTATTATATTTTTAAATTATGTTAATTATGTGTACATAGGTATGTGCCTGAGTGCAGGTCCTGTAAAAGCCAGAGGCATTGGTTCTCCTGTAGTGTTACTGGCAGTTGTCATCTACTTAATGTGGATTACGGAAATGAAACTTCAGTCCTCTGTAAGAGCAACATGCACTCTAAACTGCTAAGCCGTCTCTCCAGTCCCATAAGCACACGCACTTGCATGGGAACCCCCCCCACACACACACATAAAAAGGGTTGTTAATGCAGTCCCTTTCTCTTTCAGTATTTACTTTTCTTGTCTTTTTGGTTGTGAGCCTAGCATTCAATGGCTGAACCATCTGTACAGACATACTATTTATTTTTATTTCTGTTAATCTTCCATAAGTACTATATTCTCATATGCAGAAAGGGCTGACAAAGCCTTGAGCACGCATTATCTTAGCAACTCTGTGCAGTCTATGCCATCAGAAACACCTTGAAGAGCAGCACAAAAGCAACAAATCAGAGGACCTGGGCTCAAATTTTTGTGCATCCCAGACCAGTCAGTACTACACAGTGAGACCCTGTCTCAAAAAGAAAAGAAAAAAAAGGTCTACTGGTGATCTAGTTAGGTTAGTAGAGTGCTTGCCAAGCATGCATGAAGTTCTGAGTTCAATTCCCAGTACTATATAAGCTGGGCATGGAAACACACACCTGTAATAGGCAGAATGATCACTAGTTCAAGGTCTTTGACTACACAATGAGTTCAAGGCTAGCCTGGGATATACAAGACCCTGTCTCAAAACAAACTGAGCCAGCCTAAAATATTTCTGCAAAAAACTTTAGACTATACCAATGACATGGCTGGTAAAATTTAAAATTAAAAATATTAAAACCCTAAACATAACCGAATGTCATATGAAAAATAATCAACAGCTAAAAGGCAATAAAACAATTCTTTCCTCATTCATAGACATGGTCAGACCCAAGGTAACACAAATAGATAATGTGTACATTCTAAATGTCTGCTAAGTGGTCAAACAAGATATCAACTATAATCAATCTTATTTAAGTATGACATGCTTTGTACAATGGCTCTATATTTGAAAAAATACTGGAACTAAATTCTTTGAAATGTTTTTAACTATAAAATGAGTTAACTTTAGTGGCATTCATCTTTATGTAACACAAGCTCTCATTCCACTTTAAAAGTGAAAAAATGAGAGAAGCGAAGTGATGCACTTTCAGAGTAAATGCTCTTCCAGTTCTCTATAAAAGCAGGCCCCGATGGTTCCTTGTTACAACAAATATAAAAATTTAAAGAAACACTCACAGGAAAGGCAGTGTGGGACAAATAGCAAACGTTAGGAACTGTATGTTCAGTAAAAGCTATACTATTAAACAGTTATGAGATCTCGACCTACATTTTCTCCGGGTCTTGTTTCTTCACTGGTGCACAGAGGGAGGCTTCTCAGAGACGAACTAACTAGAGATTTAAATTTTCACTTTTCTCTGTGTGTATGTGTGGTATTGCACGCACGTGTGCAGGTGCAGATGTCAGTGCACATGTGAAGCCAGAGGAGGGTGTCAGGTGTCCCTCTCTCCCCTATTCCTTTGAGGTATAGCTAGGCTGGTGGCCAGGAGGCCACAGTGATCCTG